TCTTCTTTAAAAGAACCAAAAGAGTTAAAGCTAAGATATTTAGCATGAAACATGTACTAATAAGTGTCTACCAAGTTTGTTCAATTAAAAGCCCTGGGGTCAAAATTGGCCCCGCCCCGGGGGATCATTGATTTTCCCTATATGCATATAGTAAAAACTTAAAAAATCTTCTTTTAAAGAACTCAAACAGCTATGGCTAAGATATTTAGCATCAAACATGTTCTAATAGGTGTCTACCAAGTTTGTTCAAATAAAAGCCCTGGGGTCAAAATTGGCACCGCCCCGGGGGTCATTGATTTTCCTTATATGTGTATAGCAAAAACTTAAAAAATCTTCTTTGAAAAAACCCAAATAGCTAGAGTTATGATATTAAGCATGAAACATCTTTTAGTGAGTGTCTACAAAGTTTGTTCAAATAAAAGACCTGGGGTCAAAATTAGCCCCGCCCCGGGGGTCATTGATTTTCTTTATATGTGTATAGCAAAAACTTAAAAATCTTCTTTGAAAAAACCCAAATAGCTAGAGTATAGATATTAAGCATGAAACATCTTCTAGTAAGTGTCTACAAAGTTTGTTCAAATAAAAGCCCTGGGGTCAAAACTGGTCCGGCACCAGGGGTGTCATTGTTTTTAACTATATGTGTATAGTAAAAACTTTAAAAAAATCGTCTTTCAAAAACCCCAATGAGCTAGAGCTTAGATGTTTAGCATGAAACATCTTCTTATGGGTGTCTACCGAGTTTGTGCAAATAAAAGCCCTTAGGTTAAATTGGCCCTGCAACGTTGGGGGGTGGGGGTTGGGGGGCCTATATACAGGTGAGCGACCTCAGGGCCATCATGGCCCTCTTGTTTATTTTTTGTGCTATTTTAATATCAGTTTCAATTATTTCTATTCAGAATCACATTTTGCAAACTTGGTTATCACTTGTTGAAAGTTAAATTTTGCACTGTTTCATACAATTTATGTAAAGTTGTTTTCATGTTCACTGAATACATTTCATCAAAACAATCTTTTGCCTTTTTCCTCTATGTAGTTAAATTTACAATTTTTCCCATTTCTATTAGAGAGTAAGATAATTAACCTGAAATGTTAACTTTCTGGTTGAGTTGACTAGTATACCTATGTTATCTTAAATAAATATTGACCCAAACTTGGTTACTATCATTTTTACTATAAAGAAAAAAACAATCAGTGTCGGGAAACCTTTACGACTAGACAGGCAAGTTGAAGTTGACCTGGACTATATGAAAAATCACTGAAAAACAGTTGTTTCTGGTGAGCGACTCAGGGCCCTCTTGTTAAAAATTTCACATCATAATTGTAGGTCACTGACCAAGATCCATAATTCTATCTTGCATTTGGGCTGATTTTTCTCCCCTTTTTCAACTTAAAAATTCATGGTAAAGTTTTGCTTGTAAGCTGTTATCTCCATAACTACTGAAGGGTTTGTTCTTTTTTTGGGACAATTTTATGCATTCATAATAATAAAGCAGTGATTTACTTGATAAAATATCTTAATAACAAGCCTTTGTACCTTTTCGGTCAATTTTATGTATTCATAGGTAAGCATTATTATACTCAATAAAACACCCGTGTGACAACTTTTTCGAATAGTCAAGCCTTACTGTCCTCCGTCCGTCCGTCTGTCCCACTTCATTAGTGTCCGGTCTGTTAACTTTGTCATACATTGAGGGATTTTGAAATAACTTGGCACAAATGTCTACCACATCAAGACGATGTGTCGCGTATAAGAACCACATCCCTACCTGAAAGGTCAAGGTCACACTATCATTTTAAAGTTTCACATTATAGCAATTAGAGTAAATAGGTACACACATTTGTGTCCGGACTGTAACTTTGTCATGCATCAAATGATTTTAAAATAACTAGGCATAAAAGTCTACCACATCAAGACGATGTGTCCCATCCAAGAATTACCTCTCTACCTCAAAGGTCAAGGTCACATTAACATTTTGAAGTTTCACATTATCACAATTAAAACAAGCAAATTCGTTGAATTTATATCCCCCGCCGAGTACTGGTTATTATTAACACAACAACTGAAGACATAAGGCTTTATTTATATATTAATCATGGCATAAACAGTAATATTCTTTGAACTTGATAAATATTCAGGGCAATAACAGAGCCATAACTTTGTGTTAAATAGTAAAATCTGGAAATGCCAATGAGATGTATGCATAATACATAACTAATCAAGGGCCATAAATCTGAGTTATAAGTATCTGACTGGAACAAGGCGACTATATGCACATCTCCTCTTAGTATCCCATAAAGTTTTATTGAATTCCAGCCAGTAGTAGCAGAGAAGTAGCGAGGAAACAAATATTTTTCTATATGGATATTGCATAACTAATCAAGGGCCATAACTCTGAGTTAAAGTGTCTGACCGGAACAAGCCGACGATATGCGCATCTCCTTTGGTATTGAAGGTTCCCATAAAGTTTCGTTGAATTCCAGCCAGTAGTTGCAGAAAAGTAGTACGGAAACGATTTTTACTCTATATGCATACTACATAACTAATCATGGGCCATAACTCTGAGTTAAAGGGTCTGACCGGAACAAGCCGACGATATGCGCATCTCATCTTGATATTGATGATTCCCAAAAAGTTTCATTGAATTCCAGCCAGTAGTTGCAGAGAACTACTCCGGAAACGATTTTTACTCCATATGCATATTGCATAACTAATCAAGGGCTATAACTCTGAGTAAAAGTATCTGACCCGAACAAGCCGACGATATGCGCATCTCCTCTTGGTATTGAAGGTTCCCATAAAGTTTCGTTGAATTCCAGCCAGTAGTTGCAGAGAAGTAGCGCGGAAACGATTTTTACTCCATATGCATACTGCATAACTAATCAAGGGCCATAACTCTGAGTTAAAGTGTCTGACCGGAACAAGCCGACGATATGCACATCTCCTCTTGATATTGATGATTCCCATAAAGTTTCGTTGAATTCCAGCCAGTAGTTGCAGAGAAGTAGTGCGGAAACGATTTTTACTCTATATGCATACTATATAACTAATCAAGGGCCATAACTCTGAGTTAAAGTGTCTGACCGGAACAAGCCGACGATATGCGCATCTCCTCTTGATATTGATGATTCTCATAAAGTTTCGTTGAATTCCAGCCAGTAGTTGCAAAGAACTACTACGGAAACGAAATTCGGACGGACGGATGGACGGACGGACGGACAACGCCAAAACTATATCCCCCTCCCGATTCCATCGGCGGGGGATAATTAAAATGTACACACAATCGTGTCCGGGCTGTAACTTTTGTCATGCATGGAAGGATTTTAAATAACTTGGCATAAATGTCTACTACATCAAGGCCATGTGTCGCATCCAATAATCACGTCCCTACCTCAAAGGTCAAGGTCACACTACCATTTTGAAGTTCACTTTATCACAATTAGAGTTTATAGGTACACACATTCGTGTCCGGGCTGTAACTTTGTCATGCATCGAAGGATTTTAAAATAAGTAGGCATAAATGTCTAACACATCAAGATGACATGTAGCGACAAAGACCCATGTCCCTACCTTCAAGGTCAAGGTCACACTTATAGTTTGAAGGTACTCATTTTCTTGAATACACATTCATGTCTGGACTGTAACTTTGTCATGCATGGAAGGACATTAAAATAAATTGGCACAAATGTCTACCACATCAAGACAATGTGTCGTGGCTAAGGTTCATGTCCGTCTGTCAGTGTGTCCCTACTTACACAACAATCATGTCCAGACTGTAACTTTGTCATGCATTGAGGGATTTTGAAATAATTGGGCACAAATGTCTATCTCATAACAACATTTTTTTGTGTCCAGGAACCACATCCCTTCTTCAAAGGTCAAGGTCACACTTTATTTTTAAGGTTCATGCTATCACAATTAGAGATTACAGGTACAATAATACAAAGAACAATTATTCAGCAATTAGTTCCTTCATTATCTTTTCTTTTCATAATACCTGCATGCTTAAGAAACCTTTTCGGGGGCATTTGTCACTTGGGTGACAGCTGCTTTCCTTCTATAACACAGGCCGATCAAAATTCAAAAATGCACTTTTTTTAGCTCACCTAACCACGAAGTGGTGAAGGTGAGGTATAGTGATGGGGCTATATCGGGCGTCTGTAGTCAGCGTCGTTCGTAGTCAACAATTGGGTTGTTAACACTCTAGCAGTGACAGTTTTGATCGGATCATCATCAGACTTTGTCAGAATGTTTGTCACAAAGAAATACAGGTCAAGTTTGAAGATGGGTCATCTCCGGTCAAAAACGAGGTCACAGGAGCTAAAAATAGAAAAAGCTTGTTAACGCTCTAGTGGCTGCAGTTTTGATCCAAATATTCTGGAAATTTGTCAGGAAGGTTGTTTTGATGATTTCTAGGTCAAGTTTAAAGATGGGTCTTCTCAGGTCAAAAACTAGGTCACAGGAGCTAAAAAAAGAAAAAGCTTGTTAACACTTTAGTGGCTGCAGTTTTGATCCAAATATCCTTGAAATTGATCAGGAAGGTTGTTTTGATGATTTCTAGGCCAAGTATGATTATGGGTCACATCTGGTCAAAAACTAGGTCACAGGAGCTAAATTAAAGAAAAAGCTTGTTAACACTCTAGTGGCTGCAGTTTTGATCCAAATATTCTGGAAATTTGTCACTTGTCAGATGATTTCTAGGTCTAGTGCCTGCAGTTTTGATCCAAATATCCTGGAAATTGGTCAGGAAGGTTGTTTTGATGATTTCTAGGCCAAGTATGATTATGGGTCATCTCTGGTCAAAAACTAGGTCACAGGAGCTAAAAATAGAAAAATCTTGTTAACATTCTAGTGGCTGCAGTTTTGATCCAGATATCCTGGAAATTGATCAGGAAGGTCGTTTTGATGATTTCTAGGTCACCTGGGGTAAAAATCAAGGTCACACTGCCCAAATATGGAAAAACCTTTTTAATACTCTAAGGAGTTCGAATATGCCATTATGGGCATCTCTGATGAAAAACTAGGTCACAGGAGCTTAACATAGAAAATATTGTTAACACTCTAGTGGCTGCAGTTTTGATCCAAATATTCTGGAAATTTGTCAGGAAGGTTGTTTTGATGATTTCTAAGTAAAGTTCGAAGATGGGTCACCTGGGGTCAAAAGTTAGGTCACATTGCCCAAATACTGAAAAACCTTTTTTTTTACACACTAGATGTCAATTGTCAAACTTGGCCAGAATGCTTGTCTAAGACATTGCTTAGATGTGGTTGATGGGTCAGGGGAGTGATCTAGGGCCATCATGGCCCTCTTGTTTTTTCACAAAGCAGCAGAAAACTCACAATTTCGAAAGAGATTTCACAAAATATTGGGACTTCCTCTTTGAAATTCATTGTTTACCTTCTGGTAAACTTGATTTTCGCCAATTGCAAACACGTAAATAGTTTCAATTAATTCAAAGGGTAAAAGTACCAACTCGAACAGGTCAGAAATTATAATCAAGTGTTCATCATATCCATTTATGGCATGTTTCTATTATTATAACAAAATTACCAATAACTTATGAGTCAATGGCTAGAAAGGGGGACATATGTGTTGTTTAAAACATCCGACAAACAAGTAATCAAATTGATGTGGCCTAAGAATCAGTTGCACTGCCAGTTTATACATAACCACATGTCTGTAAAAAAGGTTTATCGCATGTAGGAGACATTGTAGAGTGTATACACACAATAGATTTATTTACCTGTCAGTGTGCTGGAAGCTTCTGAGGTTAACACAAGGTCTACTTTATAAAAGTGTTAATATAATCTAAGTGCATTTATTCTAGAAGTGTTAATATAATCTGAATGCATTATTTATCTTAGAAAATTTGTGAAAGCTGAAGTTTGAGTAACTTCTCCACTATAGAACAGGTAATAACCAATTTAGTTTTCGTTAAGCTTGTGTAATGTTTTTACATGTATACATTGAGCATAGATGTATACAGGTGTCAGTGACTCCTTGTTTTTCCTATTTTTCCTACTTTTTGAAAGGTGATCCTAGTATTTCCAAGTTTTTCTTAAATGCTCCTAGTATTTCTAGTTTTTTTCATCAATATAAGCTATTTTGATTTCGCTTGCTGGCTGAATATTTTGGTACTAAATTTTTTTCTCAGCAGGAGAACATAGGTATCTCTCCTTGTTTTCGGTCATGTCAATGTTGTCATACCCATTGCCGTTGACTGACACTGTGCCATTGCTGTCCCAAACTTAAACATTGATTATAACTTTTTAGCTCACCACAATTTGTCCGGCGTCCATCATTCTTCCTCTGGTCAAGGGCACACTTAGTCCTAATTATAAGACCTATACGTAACCTTTTTATACGCCCGTTTGAAAAACGGGACGTATTATGGGAACGCCCCTGGCGGCGGGCGGTCGGGCGGGCGGACGGGCGGGCGGCCGGCGGCGTCCAATTTTGTCCGAGCATATCTCCTACATGTATGGAGGGATTTTAATGAAACTTCATATAAATGTTCACCACTATGAGGAGCAGTGTCGCGCACATGAACCAGGTCTCTAGGTCAAAGGTCAAGGTCACACTTAGAGCTCATTGAAAAATGCTTGTCCGGAGCAAAACTTCCACATGTATAGAGGGATTTCAATATTACTTGGCACAAATGTTCACCATTGTGAGGCGGAGTGTCGCGTGCAAGATTCAGGTCCTTGCGGCCAAGGTCAAGGTCACACATAGAGGTCAAAGTTCAGATAAAAATATGAAGATGTGTATATGGACCATTTAGTCATCATTTATTGAGGGATTGTAACACAAATGGTCATTATCAAGACTATGGCTGTGATACATATAATTTAGGTCAATATATACAAGGTCAAGGTCACTAAAGATGATGAAATATCCAGATTTTGTAAATAGAATTTAATCAAAGGGAGACAACAAAGTTATTACTTTGTTCATAAATGACTTACACAATTACTCCCCTTGATCTAAAAATAGAATTTAATCAAAGGGCATGAAATAATCCTCTTTCTTGGACTTGAGTATGTTCTAAAGAATGTAACATTTATTTACACATGTTTCATTCATTGGTCAAGATTCTTAACTGTGATAACTATGGTGTTCTGTAGACTTGGTATTTGTTCATAAAGATCATACAGTAATTACCTTATCAAATGTAAATACTTTCTCATAGAAATTTAATTATATTTTAATTTTCAAGTAAATATCAGTTCAGCTCATTCAAAGATTAAGAATTGTAATGAAATGTATTTCCCTAGAATAAAATCTTAAATCAGAATTTTTTAGTTATTAAATTACATGTACTTTTTATACGCCCGTTTAAAAAAAGATAAAAATATGAAGATGTGTATAGGGACGATTTAATCATCATTTATTGAGGGATTGTAACACAAATGGTCATTATAATGACTACGGCTGTGACACATGTACTTTAGGTCAATATATGCAAGGTCAAGGTCACTAAAGATGGTGAAATATCCAGATTTTTGTCTGGAGCATATCTCATACATGTATGGAAGAATTTTTATAATACTTTATGGAAATGTTCACCACCATGATATGTATTGCTCCATGCATGATCCAAGTCTCCAGGTCAAAGGTCAAGGTCACACTTAGAGCTCATTGAAAAACGCTTGTCCGGAGCAAAACTTCTACATTCATAGGGTGTTTTCAATATAACTTGGCACAAATGTTCACCATTGTGAGGCTGAGTGTCGCATGCAAAATTCAGATCCCTGCGACCAAAGTCAAGGTTACACTTAGAGGTCAAAGTTCAGATAAAAATTTGAAGATGGTTATAGGGACCATTGAGTCATCATTTATTGATGGATTGTAGCACAAATGGTAACTATCATGACTACAGGTGTTACACATTTAATTTAGGTTAATATTTGCAAGGTCAAGGTCACTGGAGATGATTAAATATCCAGATGTTGTCCGGAGCATATTTTCTACATGCATGGAGGAATTTTAATGTTACTTTTATAGAATTGTTCACCACCATGAGACGTAGTGCCCTGCACATAAACCAAGTCTCTAGGTCAAAGGTGAAGGTCACAGTTAGAGCTCATAGAAAAACACTTGTCTGGAGCAAAACTTCTACATGCATAGAGGGATTTCAATATAATTTGGCACAAATGTTCATCATTGTGAGGCTGAGTGCCGTGCATAAAATTCAGGTCCCTGCGACCAAGGTCAAGGTCACACATTCTGTGCATATCTTCCCTATTGATTTGTTTTAAGGTTCATTTAACAACACAGTGCCAAGAATAAAAACTTGCTTGCTAGATAACACTTATCCATAATGCCCCCATCTCCATCTAAAGCTTTTTCGTAAACGGGCGTATTTTGTGACTATGGCACCCTTGTTATATTTATCATTCATTAATCTGATATTTTACATTTTCCATGTTACGTTAGGTCTTAACAGATCTTTGCAAAATTTAATTGTGTAGCAAACAAATTGACATTAGACATCGATTTAGATCTAATGCATTTAAACAATTAAGACAGCGTGTATTTACATTAATTTTGACTTATTTATGATCAAAACTATAAAATAAATATCTTTTAACAAAATAATTAAACTATCACATCCGAAAAATCATGATTAAATCCTCTCATTTAATTAAATTCCTAATACAGCCGATAAACAAATGGGCGCCATACAGTGTGCTAAATCTGATTGGCTAATTCAAATGCAAGCGTTTAAATGAGTCAGAAATTTCTAACGAAAAATTTTTTCAACGAAAAATAATTGCCCATGCACCATCAGCATGTTCGAATATATTTTTCCGTTCAAAAATTTGGAATCAATCGGTAAAGCGCTTTACTTAACCAATATGGCCGATAGGCAAAAATAGATTGATATTTATATTTTATTTTTAATTGATAAGTACATTGTTTGAGAGTTTTTGTTAATGTTTGAGCATGAAATTGAAAGAAAAGAAGATAAGCTTTTGAATAAAGCTTGAAAGGCAAGACAATAGACATTTTTAGATTTTTTTAAAATGCTATGCGTTTATGAGCAATAACTATTAGACATCATATGAAACTATAATGCACTATAATATATAATAAAGTAAAAAGGCGCAGCAGATTGTTTTCAAATAGAGTATTTTCATTGGTCACATGAAAACCTCGGATCAATGAAAATATATTCCATACAAAAGCAAAGGGAAACAAATCTGCTGTGCCATTTGACTATCATTTTGGATTGAGAATTTGACATATAGGAAGAAAGGTGCATTATAGTTTCATACGATGCTTTGATTGAACAATTATTACAAATAATAATTTAATTTTATCATATTTAAATACGCAATGCAAAGAAATATTCATTCACTGTGAATTTAGTGTGTTTTACTTGTGAGAGTTATACCAAAACAGTGCAATCAGATCTCTTCCGAGTTTCATTTGTTGACAGTTTGGGCTTGAATATTACTTGCTATGTATAATCAGCGAAGGTGTCAGTGTTGTTTCCTAAAAAAGTATTTATTTATCTAAGATTTGACACCATGATCACGGAATTTAGGTTATATATGAAAGGTCAAGGTGGCAAAAGATGATAAAATATAGAAATTTTGTCCAGAGCATATCTCCTCCATGCATGCTGGGATTCTAATGAAACTTCATAGATATGTTCACCACTATGAGAAGCATTGTTACGTGCATGAAACAGGTCTCTAGGTTAAAGGTTAAGATCAAACTTTGAGGTCATTGAAAAATGCTTGTTCGGAGCCGGACTTCTACATCAGGGGATTTTAATGTAAATTGGCACAAATGTTCACCATTGTGAGGCTTATTGCGCACATAATCCAGGTCCCTGCTACCAAAGTTAAGGTCAAATAGAGAGGTCAAAGTTTGTGTACGGTGACCATTTAGTCATCATTATTTGATGGATTGTAACACAAATGATAACTATCATGACAAGTGTGACACATGTAATTTAGGTTAATAAATGCAATATTTGCATTTGACAAGAATACAATTTCTTTTAGGCTTACAAAATGCAGATAATAAAACAAATCTTATGCTTTTATTTGTAAAGAAGTATAATATATTATTGTAAAATGGCACCCCCATCCAAGCATTTTGTGAAGGATGGGTGGGCATTTTTAGCTCGACTTTTTTTTTTTTTGAAAAAAAAAAAAAGTAGAGGTATTGCTAAAGTCGCGGCGGCGTTGCCGTCCGCAAACTTGTACCTGGATCATAACTTTTTTATTTCTTGGTGTATTGTCTTCATACTTGGCCACAACAACTCTTGGGACAAGACCTTTAGGTAGACCACACTAACCTTGACCTTCATCCATAAATGACCTTGACCTTCAAGGTTAAAAGTCCAAATTTTGCTTGTTCATGCTGTTATTGGCTGTAACTTTGTTATTTTTGAATGGATTGTCTTCAAACTTGAACATAATAATCTTCAAGGATATCCCTTAAAAATAACCAGACAGACCTTGACCTTCACTCATTAATGACCTTGACTTTGAAGTTCAAATTATTGAAATTTTCATTGTTTTGGCTGTAACTGGCTGTAACTTTGCTATTATTGAAGGGATCAACTTCATATTATAACAGAACATACTTAAGGACAAGACCTTGTTGTTTATCATGACTTCACCACGTGACACCACATGACTTCACCACATGACTTCACCACGTGACACCACCATGTGACTCCACCACGTGACTGCACCACGTGACTTCACCATGTGACACCACCATGTGACTTCACCACGCGACTTCACCACGTGACTCCATCACATGACTCCACACGTGACACCACCACGTGTCTCTACCATGTGTCGCCATTCACCATGTGACACCACCATGTGACTTCACCACGTGACTTTGCAACGTGCCACCACGTGACACCACCACGTGACTTCACCACGTGACTCCACCACGTGTCGCCACGACATGTCGCCATGACGTGACTTCACCACGTGACTTCGCAACGTGCCACCACGTGTCAGCACGTGCCACCACCATGTGACACCACCATGTGACACCACCACGTGACTCCACCACGTGACACCACCACGTGTCGCCACCACGTGACTTCACCACGTGGCGCCACCACGTGACTTCACCACGTGGCTCCACCACATGACACCACCACGTGTCACCAAGTGACTCCACCATGTGTTTCTATTTATAGAAATTTCTATTTATAGAATTGTGTGTTTCTATTTATAGAATTTCCTATTTATAGAATTGCGTGTTTCTATTTATATATTTATATAAATTAGTATATTTATCAGTGTTAGCGATTTTCCCTAACTTTACTGAGTACCTGGGACTCAGTGCTAATAGATCTGTTACTTCCCAATTCAAATGGAACGAGTCCTCAATTACAAAAATGTCAATGTTTGCATAACTTCATAATACAATCAAATTTGTGACTGTTGATGTTCGCGGATACCATTGATAGGTTGGCCCAAAACGAGGCCGAGCACTTGCTCCTAGTCTATGTTTGGGATATAAATCTGCATTGCTAATGAGAAAGGAACAAATGAAAATGAGGTGAAAGTCAAGTTCTTATAATACAATTTATTTAAAGTGAATAGAAAATCATTTTCAAGCAGAGCAAAAAACTTAAGAGAGAATTGACCAATTATCGGGGAAAAAGTGTTTCGTCCCAGGGACTCAACAGCCCTTTTTTTCTTTCCTCCCTGGCAATTTTAGCGAGTAAATTGATATGTTTACTCAGTAAACGCGAACACTGTTTATATATACAAAATATATAGACAAAACTAATGTGACAAGACAGACCGATTAATTTTATAAAAAGGAAACATTAAGATTTTGTTCAAACATTTTTTTGTTTGCTTTTAGAGAAAGTAAAAAGTCGAGCATTGCCCCCGCCCGGCGGTGGCTCTTGTTGGATAATGGCCTGATAATACCTTCTGTATTAGAAGTCTTCAGCCCTAAGACAGATCTCAACTGATTTGAATTTTCGGCACTTAAGTTATTTAAGTCAATAACATTTGCCTGACGGTTATTACCGTTTGGCTGAGATTGCTGCGAAATGTCAACATGTGGTTGATCAAGTGACTTGTCATTATGCTTCAGTCTACTCCGGACTTTACCCTCTTTTGTTACTTTTGTCACAACAGATTTTACTCTTTTTGATTTCGGAGAATTGTTAAGGGAAAAACCAAAAAAACTCGCCGAAGGAAGAACCTCCAAAAAGTGACAACACATCGTCTTGCCTACCACTTCTCTTGCTCGTTGACATCGTCAACCCTAAGTAAAAAAAAAAGTTGGCGTGGAAATAAAAGCTTGAGACAAACAACTCATAGCTAAAACAAATAGTGTAAAAACGCAAAACAAGAAAAAATCAAATTTCAAACATTCCAGCTCGATAAACGACAGTGTTGCATCTAGAATTTCAAAATTATGGGGGATTGTCCCCCACTCAACTGAAAAATGTGGGGGATTTAAAAAAAATGTGGGGGACATACATTTACCTGACACTATGACGTACAGAAAATAATTCATTTATTTTACGTTAAGGCATTTTTGACAGCTATCGTCCGCTTAACAATGGAAATAGAAAAAAAAAAGAAAAAAAGATTGACGAATACTACAGTACACACGAGTGAAAACTAACATGGTTGAAGCATTCAAGATACAATGAAGATAAACTGAATTAAGTTTAAAAGATCGTCAAATGCGCGACTTGGCCCGCATGGACTTCATTAAAATGGGCGATCTGCATAAAATATGCGCAAATTGTGCAATCGCACAACCTAGATGCAACACTGAACGAAATAAAAAAGCGTTCACAAGGCCACGTGGTCAATTACCAAAACTTCTCTTAACACTCGCGCGACAGGGTTGCTAAATGACTATGAAATGCACGAGGAAATGTCATACATGCATTACCGTATTCACAACTGACATATGCAACAATTTATTAGCTATGCTAGCTGTCTAAAATATCAGATTAGATTGTACCTATTGTACTCTGAAAGAAAAAAAACAACTCTCATCCTCCAAGAACCTGAAAAAATCTTTTGGGTAGGGGCAAATTTGTTGGGTAGGTAGGGAAGGGGAAACAAATTAATTTTATTTTAGGCCTAGTTAAATTTTCGACATTAATGGTCAGTGGTAAATTTTTTTCGTAACATCACAGCATCATGATATTTGGTATACAAGTGCAACCCGGCCATTTCTGTATTTGACCCATTTTTTAGCTCACCTGTCACAAAGTGACAGGGTGAGCTTTTGTGATCACTTTTCGTCCGGCGTCCGTCCGTCCGTAAACTTTTACTTTAAATGACATCTCCTCATAAACCAATTAGCCAATTTCATCCAAACTTCACAGGAATGTTCCTTTGGTGGTCACCTTTAAAAATTGTTCAAAGAATTTCCATGCGGAACTCTGGTTGCCATGGCAACCGAAAGAAAAAACTTTAAATATCTTCTTTTAAAAAACCCAAAGAGCTAGAGCTTAGATATTTGGCATGAAACATCTTCTAGTGAGTATCTACCAAGTTTGTTCAAATAAAAGCCCTGGGGTCAAAATTGGCCCCGCCCCAGGGGGTCATTGATTTTCCCTATATGCATATAGTAAAAACTTAAAAATTCTTCTGTTAAAGAACTCAAAGAGCTAGAGCTCAGATCTTTAGCATGAAACATCTTCTAATAAGTGTCTACCAAGTTTGTTCAAATAAAAGCCCTAGGGTCACAATTGGCCCCGCCCCAGGGCGTCATTGATTTTCCCTATATGCATATAGTAAAAACTTAAAAAAATCTTCTTTTAAAGAACTCCAAGAGCTAGAGCTAAGATATTTAGCATGAAACATGTTCTAATGAGTGTCTACCAAGTTTGTTCAATTAAAAGCCCTGGGGTCAAAATTGGCCCCGTCCCAGGGGGTCATTGATTTTCCTTATATGTGTATAGCAAAAACTTAAAAAAATCTTCTTTGAAAAAACCCAAATAGCTAGAGTTTAGATATTAAGCATGAAACATCTTCTAGTAAGTGTCTACAAAGTTTGTTCAGATAAAAGCCCTGGGGTCAAAATTGGCCCTGCCCCGGAGGTCATTGATTTTTCTTATATGTGTATAGCAAAAACTTAAAAATCTTCTTTGAAAAAACCCAAATAGCTAGAGTTTAGATATTAAGCATGAAACATCTTCTAGTAAAGTCAACAAAGTTTGTTCAAATTAAAACCCTGGGGTCAAAATTGGCCCCACCCCAGGGGTGTCATTGTTTTTAAACTATATTTGTATAGTAAACTTAAAAAATCTTCTTTAAAAAAACCCAATGAGCTAGAGCTTAGATGTTTAGCATGAAACATCTTCTTATGGGTGTCTACCAAGTTTGCTCAAATAAAAGCCCTTGGGTTAAAATTGGCCCTGTCGGGGGGGGGGGGGGGGGGGGAATCATTAATTTTCATTATATGTGTGTAGTAAAAACTTAACATCATGAAACATCTGCTAATGGGTGTCTTCCAAGTTTGTTAAAATAAAAGCCCTGGGGTTTAAACTGGCCCCGCTCCGGGGGGCCTATATACAGGTGAGCTACCCCAGGGCCATCATGGCCCTCTTGTTTTAGCAAGTTGTCTGGGAAGTTATGTTTTGGGCTATAATGGTTGTTTTGTTGACTTGCACAGTTTTATATTAGTATTTACATATTTAATTCATTGCATGTGTTTATTATATTTTTAGAAACATCTTGATCATTATGGCTTACAGTGACAAGAGACAAGAATATGACTATCATCTCAAGACAGATGGTGTAAATGATGAATACTCGGTGTCATCAAATGATGATGAGAACGAGGAACGAGGAAATTGGTCAAGGAAAATGGACTTTGTTCTTTCCTGTCTAAGCTATGCAGTTGGATTAGGAAATGTGTGGAGGTTCCCATATGTATGCTACAGAAATGGAGCAGGTAATTTTAGAAAGGATTTGACAATTGAAAGGATTTGACAATTCAGTGTTCCCACTAGAATTTAAATTTGAGGGTACATGTACCCCCTAGGTGATATTTTTGGGGGTACACTTCACAGAATATTTAGGGGGTACAAACTATAAAGACAAGCAAGTCAGTTAAACACATATCAATATTTTTATTGAGACATCTTTTCTACAGCTTTCTGAATAACTTCATTAGATTCAAATCCTTGCTGATTGGCAGAAAAGTGGATCATCATTCTATTTTGTACATTTTCAACAGTCCTCCTACTGCTGTACCTTGAAATGTGTCTGTTTTGTGATGAGAATCCCCTTTCACAAGGGACAGAAGTTAGAGGGATTGTCAGCAAGATACTAGCCATATTGGCAAACCCTGGGAATGTTTCAGATTTGTTTAGTTATAATATCTTTGCATATTTCCTGCAATGATAACTGCCTATTGACATTCAAGAGGTACTTAAACTGAACAAAAGAATGTTTTAATTCTTCTCTGTTGAGAAGATTCCCATAGAAATCAAGGACCCTGTCAAGTTCTACAGGCTGATAATGCCCTTATGGTCACTAAGAAGCATTGCTGGTTTGAGAATAGTATTTAGATCTCTGAGAATTTTCATATCATCAGGAGGAAATCAACTCTCAAATTTGGCCAAAAGATGACCCACAAATGTTCTCCTCAAATTGGCCAATGTTAATCTATCCCTCAAAGAACAAGACAAAGTAATGCCTTGGTAAGTATCAGTATCATCTATGCTGTCAATCAGCTCCTGAACTGAGGGAGATTCAGTAGAACCACTAAGTGCAGAAATAGTAGCTTTTGTAGTAGAGATCATACTATTCAACCTGATGTATGTCAATATTTTATCTTTCTGAAAAAAACTTTGACAGCCTGCAAATCCAACTTAGAATATATTTAAGAAGGCATATGGTTGAAATGAAATGGAAAGTTTTGATTTTCCTAAGAATACCCTTACTTTTGTTACCTCCCTCAAAATTGGGGATGGTTGCACACTCATGTTTCTAACCCTAACACCAAAAGCTGACCAACTTGAATGTACAGCTTTAATGGAATTCTGTAGTGATAACCACTAACCTGAGTAGGCTTCTTAAACCTTTTCACTTGGTCACCAATTATTTTTTTTAATTCTCTAATTTTGTTGTACCTGGGTGCTGAAAAACTCATAAAAATTGTAAATATTAACAAGAGTTTCTTGTACATTCTGCAGATAAGGGACTCTTTTAGCTGCCCAGTATGATACAAATGTTAATTATTCTGGGGTTGTCAGCCTTTAATTTTACACCAACCCCAGCTTTCTTCCCTGTCATTACTGAAGCACCATCACTTCCAAACCCTGATACTTTGTCAACATTTACACCTACAGAACCAAGCCAGTTTATAATTTCCTTATATACAGTTTTTGCTTTGCCATCAACAATGTCAACATTTGCACAAAACTCCAACTTCAGTTCACCATTATGAATGATTTTTGCAAACATTACAAGTTTTTTTGTGGTTGTTATGTCTAAAGATTCGTCCACCATAATGCCAATATATGGGCTGTTTTTAATCCGGATAAGAGCCATTTCCTGTAGAACATCAGCCAGGTACTGTTGCATATGCATGACTGCTTAATGGTTCCTTAAAATTCCTGAAGGTTTTCTGTTACCAAGATCAGGATCAGTGGTTTCTTTTACAGATGAATTAGTGAAGATGTGCGCATTGGATATCTGCAGTGAAAATTAAAAATACATTTTAAAATGGTAATGATATGGTGTACAGTTGCCTAATAGTGGATTTTTTTTTTATATTTTATAGAATAGAGATAATTAGATTTCAATGCTTAGTGATTGTTTTTCATGTATTTTTAGCATGCTATCATGCAAGGATTTTTTTTCTCAAAAATTATTTAAAAACAAATGATCACTGATTAAAGTTTTAACAATAGTTCTTTTTTATAATTTTTCTGTGATTTTTTTTAGCTTTTGTAGGGATTTGAAATCTATCAGCATGTTATTTTGAGTAAAAAAGATCTACCTGCAAATAAATCAAACTCAGAAACTTTCTGTTGGCAATATTTTCTTTAGCCATATACAATGCGGTCCTGAGCTGTGCCTCTAAGATTGGTTCAAATTTTTTCTGAACTATTTTTACAGCAGCAGTCATGTAAGGTTTTTGCTTTTTGGCGTTGCATGACACATTGTGATCGTCGCATTTCTGGTGTCTAACTAATGCTGACCGCTTGAAATTATTAGTCCCAATTGTAAACGCCGATTTCAGACACTTTTTAGTGTTTTTTTCACATGTCTCGCATGTTAAACGAAACATTGTCTTTGTCAAATCTAAGCCATGAAAATTCGGACAACCAGGAGTTCTGAAATCGTTTGCAATGTTTCTTTTTGGGGGGTTCATCACTATTTTCACTAGGGCCTGGTTCTTGATTTGCGCTAGAGGATTGAGTAAGGTTCGGCGATTTTTCGCTGGAATCGCTTTTATGGAACCATTCATTTAAATTGCGTTGCATTTTCAATAACTTTTCCTGCGATTATTTAATATTTCAGACGGCTTATTTGTATTGCCTGGATGTAGACTTGTTACTGCTTTTGATATTGAGCGTCGCGAAGTGTCGTTAATAATTATAAACCAGTCCATGAGCTAAAAATAGAACAGCTGGGAAACCCGAGTTATGACCTCAGTTATGACTGATCAGATTAAATTACGGTCTTGTAAACAATTTCAGAGATTTATGAGTAGATTATTGATTTGTGCTTTGAATTTGCGGATAATTTTTTGGCAGTTTTACTTCAATTTTTATACGTGCATGCACGCACCAAGTTGTAATTTCATGCATGATTTTTGTAAATTATACGTGATTCACGTACATTTGTGCGTGAATGGGAACTCTGCAATTGTTATTGTACAGTAGCCATTTTCAGAAAAAATATACGATTTATCAGAAGTAATTGGTTATCAGATACATGTATATAGATGTTTGGCATGAAGCATTGTCTAGTGGACCGAATAAAAGTGGAGCTATTGGTCATTGTTTGCTTTAGATTTGGCGTTGGTTAACCATTTTGTTATGGTTCATTTTCTCAGGAAGTATAAAAGCTATTGACTTCAAAGTTGGTATCCATGTATGTTTATTACACAAAAGAATGCCACTCGAAAAGTGCAGATAATCCTAAAATTATATTTATGCCACTGCAGCATCTGCATTTTCCTAATGTGTATAATTTTATACAGTATAAACTAAAAAAAATCTCCTGAATTTACAAAGGTATGGTTAGATATTTAGCATGAAGCATTGTGTAGTGTATCTCAACCATGATTGTTCAAATTATAGCTCTGGGATCAAAATTGGCCCCGAGTTTGATATGGGTCAACTGGGGTCAAAATCTAGGTCACACTGCCCAAATATGGAAAAACCTTGCTAAAACACTAGAGGTCACATTTTTGACTCAATTGTCATTAAACTTGGTCAGGATGCTTGTCTAAGACAGTGCTTGGATGTGGGTGATTGGTCAGGGGAGCGATCTAGGGCCATCTTGGCCCTCTTGTTCTTGTCAATCCTTTTGGTTGCCATGGCAATGAATGGAATCAGTCTTTGAACATCTTTTGTAGACCTTCACCCAAGGAACAATCATGCTAAGTTTGGTTGAAATTGGACACAGGTTTTGTTTGGAGAAAATTTTTGAAGTCACGATATAATCTTTATAACACACACACACACACATACACACAGGTGAATCGCTATATGCCACTGGCATAAAAACCTTAAAACATCTTTTTCTACTTAACTAATTGATGGATGCTCACCAAACTTTGTCTGAATCATTCTGAGGTAGTCTTTTATCACATTTGCTCATATTAATTTGATTCGCCCTTTTTAGGGGCTGCTAAAGCTAAAGATAGAAAAACCTTGAAATATATTCTACTGAACTAATTGATAGATGATCACCAAACTTTGTCTGTAGCATTTTTAGGTAGTTATGTAGTTTTTTTTTTATTAAGTTGCTCAAATTAATTTGATTGGCTATTTAAGAGCTGAAAATAGAAAAAATCTAGTAGGGTGAGTTACCATGCTTTACTTTCCAGATGAACAGTAACAATGCACTTGGATCATTTATGAATTATTCCATTTTTTATTATGAAGAAAAAAAAAATCTGTGTTGGGAAACTAATATGTAGAGGGGCATGTTGAAGTTGAGCTAGACTTGCCTTTAGGGAAGTTCATTTGAAAAAGTATTTCTTACACTTGAAAACAGTTGTTTCTGATGAGAGGCTCAGGGCCATCATGGCCCTCTTGTTTATTTTTCACAATTTGAACTAAGATTTAAAATTTCACAATAAGAAGTCATGGACTATTTTACAAAAAAAAAATTAAAAGATTACAACATAATATTACCTAATTACTGATTTTTGCATTGAAGAATTGTGACTGTTACCTGCAATGTATATCAGGTGACCCATTCAAGTCAATCATGGCCCTTTAGGAGAAGAATTCTATAAGACCTAGTCTTTCGTTCTAATCCTCTTCTTTGAATATTGTCAAATTTTGTATGTGTATATATTTCAAATGTTATTATGTACATATTCTGAGAATAAATATGTTTAAACTAGTCATGGCCCTCTTGTTCTTGGTGTATGAATGTAAGACTACTATAATATATTAGTGAAACCTAACGAAAGAAATCGGTCAGGCTTTGAGCCAAGTTTCTTTTCTAAAAATAGTCTCTGACTGATATACACTGATACAGTTATTGTTCTACATCTCCAGATAAACATCTGTAGTCAATTTCTTGACAGATCAGCCAAAAAAAGTGTAGTGTGTTAAATAATATACATCATTCGCAGAATGTCTATGGAATATGAATATATTATATATATTTATTTGGATTTTTTTCCAGATTATTCTCACTTTGTTTTATTGAAATCTAAAAATCTACCATAAATCTCTTGGTACATGTAATTTATTATTGGTCATTTACCTCTTTAAGTAATATATATACAGTTGAAACTGTACTAACGGTCACCTCTTATCGGCAGTCACCTGACCTTAACGGCCTGTACGCTAGTTATTAGCTCACCTGTCACAAAGTGACAGGGTGAGCTTTTGTGATTGCTTTTCGTCCGTCCGTCCGGCGTCCGTCCGTAAACTTTTACTTTAAATGACATCTCCTCATAAACCACTAAGCCAATTTCATCCAAACTTCACAGGAATGTTCCTTTCGTGGTCACCTTTAAAAATTGTTCAAAGAATTTAATTCCATGGAGAACTCTGGTTGCCATGGCAACCGAAAGAAAAAACTTTAAATAT